TCCTCATTCATTTATTCTTTAGATTGACCAGAGAAAGACAGACACACAGAGAGAAGGAAAGTGAGAAATCAAGCCACCAGGTCTGGGACTCGAACTGTTGTGGGCCATGTGGGAGTGTCCAGCAGCTTAAACACTATGCCACCTGCTGGCCCCTGTAAGTCTGTTTTTTAAAGGTTTATTTTAATAATCTTGCCTATCCCAAAATACCATTTATAAATTGTTATGTCCAGACTTTGGGCATTAGCCTTCCTTTTCTCCCAGTGAAAAACCCAAATGCAAGTCCCACCTACCCCTGGTTCCCTTCCCTGGTTGTTCCTAACATTTACACTCAGGGATAAGAGTGTATATGGCCCCCCGCCAATGTCCAGCCCCCAATTCCATATGCTGAGGAATCTAATATACCCATTGATGAGTCCAAGTTCTATCCTTACGTCCCAGCCATCGTCTTTTGGTCACCCCCGAGTGACAAAATCAGTCCTCTGGAAGATGAATCGGAAAGCATCCCTCTCCGGCTCTGGATCTGGGTATCAGGAGCATGGTCTAAATAGGGAGACGAGAACTGTTCTAAAGGTGACAGCATGGCTGGAGCGGGGCCACAGATCACATTCCTCATAGGTTGGTACCGCCTTGGCCTTTCTCACACCTCATACACCCACTCCCACACACCACCATTCTGTTTCCTTTGTGGCTGCCAAAGTGACACCGTTGGGAAATAGTATTTATACAAAACAGCTGCCAAAATGTGTAGCCAAAGCTGCCAAAGCAGGAAGGAGGGAGAACCTAGACTCCTGCTTACCCCGTAGACTTTTCCAGCCACACACACACATGCCGGTCATCAGCCTGCTTCTCTTCAGTCTCTCGTATCCCTGGTTCCCCTTCATCTCTCAGGCCCCTCACTTTACCCTTGTCTGCTCCCAGCTCTTATTTCTTTCCTGGTACAGCAGCCTAACCCCCACTTCCAGCTGTCATGAGCCATGGCTCACAGCCTATCCCTCCTAGTCCAAACTGTCCCTCCTAGAGAGAAGTCAAGTTTGGGGCTGTTTCTAGCGGAGTCAGTGGGTGCTGGGGAGCAACTGTGCCCTGAGGACGGGATGGTGATATTCTGAGCTCAAACCATTTCCCTCTGGCAGGAAGCCTGGCAGATTTCTAGGGAGATGCCTCCTCTCCACTTCGCAGTGATGGGGAGGCGGTTTTTGTAGTCAGGCCATCTGCCTTCCCTGCCCCCCCTTCTCACCAGCAGCCCTTTCTGTAGGCTTAGCAGGGGTTCCTCAATGACTGAACTCCTGTGTATAAAGACCCCCTTAGCTCTTGCTGAGGACCTTCTTCAATGTCTCTACTTTGACCTTCTTACCTCCCTAATCTGTAAATATCACAGACAAAGGGGGTTTCCCTAAACCCCCTTTCCCTCCACACAGTACCTTCCGTCTTGAGCTCTCTGGCTTGCCCACTGCAAAGATGGAACTCCATGGTAATCCTCCAGAGGGAAAATAAGAGATGCCGACATTCCTTATGGGGATGTACAGGGAAATGCGCCCCTCACCCGCAAGGCCTCTCTCAAAGCCCCCTCCTAAGTGCTCCACTTTTTTTGGGGGGGTGGAAGAGGTTTTTGCTATAGGGCACATGTGCTAGCAAGAAAGTCAGAGAGAGACAGAGAGACAGAAAGTGAGAAATCACCCCCCACGGGGGATGGCCACGCCTAATCCCTTCTCCTCCATTCTCCTCTCAGGATCTTGGGCATGCATGCACACGCACACGCACCTGGCGTGACTTTAAGCCACCGGGTCTGGGACTCGAACCATGGTCAACTACATCGGAGTTCAGTGATATAGCCATTACCAGCTAACTGCTGGTCCCACTCCACTTTTTTTATTTTAAAGGTTTTTGCAGAGAGAGAGAGAGAGAGAGAGAGAAATCACTCCCCAGTGGAGATAGTCACACTGTAATCCTTTCCCCTCCATTCCCCTCCTGGGATCCTGGGCACGCATACACATGTGCCTGATGTGATTTTCAAGCCGTCACGTTCGGGACTCAAACCATGGTTGACCATGTGGGAATCAGATTCATAACTACTATGCCACCTGCTGGCCCCAACTCCACTTCCTTTTACTGCCCACATCTCCTCCCTCTGTTCCCACCTCTGCTCCCCTAGCAGGAGCCCCAAACACATCATCTTGCTGGCTGCTGTGTGCTGTAGGGGTCTGGCTGCAGAAGAAGGGCAGGTGGAAGCCAGCCAGGCACAGTGATATGGCAACACCTGGAGCAGTAGCAGAAAACCAGCTAGCCCAAGGGTAAGAGGCTGTGAGGGTCTGGGGTGCCCAGGAGGAAGGAGACATTCCTTATCAAGGCTAGAAAAGAATATTAGGGAAAGGGGCAAGGCTCCA